ATTCACTACAGCTAGGCCCCAGATATTTAAGAGTAGATCTTTTACTCTAAAAGCAAGACTCTCGGCAAGGTCCATATCAGTACTGTTAATTTCAGATAGTACCTGTGAGAATTTACACAAGGATGCCTTGTCTCGAGTGAAATGACAAAGCCATTCAAAGAATTACATTTGTAATAATACAGTCAAGACACTTGGTTCTAATATTATGATTTCCCTGCTTAGATTTCAAAACAAGTCTCTAAAATTGGGAACATTATATTGGTAGGAATACAGAGACAGAGAAGCACAGCTCATTTGCCCAAGAATAAGCAGGAAAGCAACTGAAAAGCTAGAAATGCACTTCGGTTTTTCATGTTCTTGTCTCAAGCGGCGCTCGCAGCCATGCTACCTCTCACCCGGGAAGATGCCCAGATGGCAGCTTCCATTAGTGCCCAGCCATTCCCCGGAGCAACGCACCCCATGTGGCCGTGACAAGCTAGCATGCAACTTACCTGTCTGGAAACGGGATTTCAGCACATCTGGTGGAATGGCGACTGCCCAGTTGAAGATCCCAGCTAGGCCCCCAGCAAAGAGGATCCTAGGCACACTGAGGTCACTCACACTGTAGTGGGTTGGAGTAGGGTGGGATGGGAAGAAAAAAAAAAAAAGTAAAAGCTTATCTGTTTTGACTCAAATGACAACCAAAGAGGCAGTTTGGCTGACAGAAAGAAGGTGGCAAAATGCTGCAGAAACAGAGCGCAGTATCTGAGCAACAACTCCAAGAATCAGAGACCTCTGGACAAAATGCGTCTACTCCACCCTAAAGGTTCAAATCCTCTCATTCAGCAGTAAACACACAAGGATGCTGTGAAAAAAAAACCCAGCTTTTTGCACACACACAGGTGAAAGAGTGAAGAGAGCTACTCCAAATATTTCTTTCTCATGCCAGTAAGATCCAAGATTTGAATTTGTGAGAAACTAAGAAATCTATTTTAATTGTCAGCTACTCCCAGACCAAAACAGCTCAACTCACAGGACAACCAGTGACAGCAATTTTCTCTTTTTCGGTTATTTTAATGCTACCGTTCAAAACTCCTCCTTAAATGGGGAGATTAATCAGCAGTGTCTGAGAAGTCTAGAAAAGCTGACTTTGGGATTTCACTAACCTCTTTCCC